TTTTTTTTAAATGTTAAGACTCTCCACAAAACCTAAGAATGAGTGCCAGCAAAATGATCTCCTCTTATGTAGAGTACCTCATCTATTTTGGGTGAGAGGTTAAGAATTTGGGGGGACATCTAGAACCACCAATAAAAACTTTAAATCTCCTCTAAAAATGATACTTGAATAGTTTTCCTGAATTGGGCTTCTCTATGTCTGGAATAGGGCTGATGAAAGAGCAATCTAATGCTTTACTTAGAACATTTTTCCATGGCAAAACTTCCCACAATTCTAAATTTTAAACATTGTTATTGAAAAGTAACTAACCTTAAAGTTTTCAGAATCTTACCTATCCTATGTATTATATTCCCAATAATTAACATAAGCATTATGTTGTATTTTATATAATAATTAACATAAGGATTAAGTATCAAAATTCTTTGAATTTCACATCCATAAATCCTAACATAAAAAGGATACTGCTTCCAATTAGAGATACAAGACGAGACACAGGAAGAGGTCTGTCAAATACAAATCTGGAATCCAAACACTCCTGGCGCATAAAATTACTAAAAAAGAAACAAGAAAAATTAGTTATTTCAAATCAGAGTTATTTCAATCTAAATAAAGTAGTTTGATTTCTTTTTGCTTTTCCTCACATGGATTAAGAAAGACATGCCACAAGGATGCATTTTTACACTGAACTCTGGGGCATGATGAGGTTTTTAAAAAGACTAAATATTCCTTAGCTCTAGATAAACTTGGTCTCTGAGTAGTTTAGAGAAGGCTGAGCAAGAGAAAAAGAGCAAGCTCTCTTTTCTTACCCTTTCCCACTGTCAATAAGATTGTCTTAATTCTAGGTCTTAAACCAGCAAAAAGAGTAACTATTTGCTTTTTTTCTTGAAAGCTGACTGAAATTTCCCCGAAAGAGCAAATGCAAGGAATAGAATGCATACAAGGACAGTGCTACATGTTCCTGCCAATGTTGCTCCTCTCCATAAGCAGCACTCTAAAGGAGACACAGAACACTAGACTATTGAGTCTCACTGTTAAACGTACCAAGATTCAAGCAGATGTAACATTGGGGAAAACAGAATTCATGCCTAACGATTAAAGACAACAGGATAAACAACAGGGAAATGGATATGCACCTTTCTTTCCATGTTGCTTTGCCTAGTTTATGTGTATGTCACATCTGGTAATCAAATCCCAAGCATGTGGGAACCATGCTATTTGTTCACTACTTTTATTTAAGCTCATTTCCCAAGGCTATCTATACTGCATTGCCCAATATGGCAGGTATTGATTACATGTGACTATTAAGCACTTAAAACGTGGCTAGCCTGAACAGAGATGTACTGGAAGTGCAAAATACACCTGAAATTTCAAAGACTCAGTACAAAAAACAATGCAAAATATCTCATTAATGAAGTTTTTACATTGATTACACATTTACATGGCAGTATTTTAGATACATGGGGTAAATAAAACGTTTGACCATGGAACATATTTTACACTTTCAAGAGCTCTCAGAAACCAATAATGCCGTCACTATCTTGCCAACCTAAGAGAGCAGGCGACTCACTGGATAACTCTAAAATCTTCAACGGTGGCATTACTATTTGCATTTCGTGCGTATATTCTTTCTTCCCTAATTAAATCACAGGCTTGGGGCACCTGGGTGGGTCAGTCAGTTAAGCGTCTGACTTCAGCACAGGTCATGATCTCACAGCTCGTGGGTTTGAGCCCCATGTCGGGCTCTGTGCTGACAGTTCAGAGCCTGGAGCCTGTTTCAGATTCTGTGTCTCCCTCTCTCTCTGCCCCTCCCCTGTTCATGCTCTGTCTCTGTCTCAAAAATAAATAAACACTAAATCACAGGCTTAAGAGATTAGTTTTGGCTAACTACCTTCAACCTCCCAACACACACATTCATAAATTACCTGAAAGGCACTGTGTTAAGTGCTCTACATGTTAGGCTATTCAACAATAACTCTGAAACAGAACATACTAAAAGCATCAATGGTGTAAGTAACTAGCCTCACCTCAAATCCTAAGTGGTTTCAAAGCCCCAGCTCTTCACTTATATGTCTCTCATCTCTATCTCCTCTGGACTCTCACAGAAATCTACCTGTTCCTCTCCACTTTCTACCTTGTATTAAAGATATACTACTAGATTTTAAGTTCCTAGAAGACAAGATGTATATCTGACTCATACATACAGAATGAATATCCAGTAATGAGCTTCGCAAAAAATAAATGTCTTACAAATACTGGCATATTAAAGTAAGGGTAGTTCTGCCAATCCTTAGAAACCAGACAAAAGTGTCAAGTTCTTCTTAGACACAACACTGTCTCAAACAATAAACACTGAGTTAACAAGTATCGCATTATGACGTGACTTCTCAAAAGCTTTAATCTTAACATGGCTAACTGTAGTAGTTACTACTACAGGGATCAAGAAATGGAATACTTAGTAACTGAGCCCAAATCCAGTAAGGTATTCACAATCTGAACTTCTAAACTCTGCCAGACAACTTCCTAAAACATCGTATCTTGATGAATCCAAATGGATGTTTCTTTTGCTTTTCAAGATCATACTCACCATAACAGTCTAGCATCAGCAGTAAGTCCCGCAATCGAGATACCAATATGGTTGTCAACATGGAGAATTTTTTTCTGATGAGCTGCAAGCTCTGACTGTGCTCTCTAAACAGAGACATTACAGAACATAAAAATACGTTTACGATTCTATTACCGACGCAGTGAAACGTCTATCTGACAGTTCCATTTTCTACACGAGGAAGATTTATTTACTGCTGTACTTACCTTCAGTGCAACCAGCACTGCATGGGTTTTTGACTTCAGACCAACTGTGGCTGAACCTTGTTTAACAGCTTCCATTGCATATTCAATTTGATGAATCCTGCCCTAAAGAGAAAACAACACATCTTACAGTCATCTTGTAAGATCCTTTTATATATTTAAAATTGATTTAGTGGTCCCAAATCTCAGGGGAGTATGGTTAAATCTCAAATGATTTTTCTTTTAAACTAGGGAACTTATTAATGATAAATTTAGGTTCCAGGATGTCTAACATGATTATATTCCATTTTGCCACAGCTTACACTTTCATGAGTTTCTAAAGTCACTTCACAGATATAGTATAAAACATTTTTACTGGGACACATTGGTGACTCACTCAGTTGATTAAGCGTCCAACTTTGGCTCAAGTCATATGTCACAGTCTATGGGTTCAAGCCCTGTCGGGTGTTGTCCTGACGGCTCAGAGCCTGGAGCCTGCTTGGGATTCTGTGTCTCCCTCTCTCTCTCTGCTCCTCCCCCACTCACGCTTTGTCTCTCTCCCTCTCCAAAATAAACATAAAAAAAAAAAAAATTTTAAATAAAGAAAACGACAACATTTTTACCTGAGGGCTCCAAACAGTGACATCGTTGTCATACTGGTTGCGAAACTGAAAATAAAAGAAAAAAAGACCTGTTAACTTAAGAACACTACAAATTCCAGTTTTTAACAAGCTCTATCATTAAAAACTGTTCTCCCATCTGTTTCCATTCAACATTAACACCTGCTATTAATACAAACTCATTGGAAGATTACTGCTACACTCAGTTGCAAGCAAATTCTAAATTTACCATGAGCTACAAGGGAGGAGCAGATCTAGATGGACCCATCTTTCCAACTTCCAATTCTACCACTATCTATAGCATTCCCTTTGGGTTCCGTTCCTAAAGTTCATAGTGTCACCTTTCCTTCCCATCTCTGCTTAGGCTCTTCTCTTATACTGGGCCCTAATAAATGATCAAAAGCGCTTTTTCTTTAACCTCACTCAAATGTCTATCTCTCTAAGTCTTCTCTATTTTTCTCCCAAAATTCCAACACATACTCCCATCAGTTCTTTATCTACACTCCCTTTCTACTTTATGATTAGGGACATGTCAGATTTATCTTTGAACCCTTACTGCACTTAAAACGGTGCCTTGTACGTATAAACATTCATATTGAAGAAAAAACACAAGAATGTTCTCGGGAAGTTAGATGTTAACACAAATAGCTGCAGAGCCAGAACCATTACTGCTTTAATAAGGGTACTGAAACAAGTCTACCAGCACAATATTGGGGAAATAACCCGGGGGGTGAGAAAGTTGAGTGCTGGAATGGCAGACATGAGACTGGAAGCCCCGAGCCCTAGGCTGTGTCCGTGATAACACCACTTCTCTCAGCCTCGGTTTATTCACTTGGACAAAGTGAATGAAAAGAACCCTTTCTGATCGAGTGTAGGGGAGAGAAAAATGAGACGGGCCCACAAGGAAAATGGACGCTGTCCTGGAACCCAAACCCTGGGATCAAGCCCGCAGTGGCAGTACAGGGAAGCCACCAAGTCAAGTCCCTATTTCCTCCTCCTACATAGAGCACGAGGAGCCATTCTGAACCGCTCGGAACTACTCCGGCTGTAGGAACTTGAGGGGCGAGCTCATCTAGTTGACCGAGGAGGTAGTGTCCCAGGCCCGGCGGAAAGCGAAACAAGCCCGGGAGAAAGGCCGCACTGACTACCCATCGCCCCTCTCCCCGCCAGGCCGGAGATGCTGAATCACTGCTGGAACCCTCCTGTCGGCCGAGGTTCCCATACCCCGTGGCCCCAGGCCGCTCTGAGAATGACCGAAGTGGCGGCTCACCATCCCCCAGTCGGCGGATCTTTGCCCCAACCCTGCCTGAGCTCGGAATCCAACGCACCATGGTTCCGGCGCGGGTCTGGCTGCGGCCTCCAGCAGAGGTGCGGACCCAGGAGCGCGGCCGAAACTACCGCTCGGCGATCTACAAACAAGTCTTCGGATTTTGACGGCGGCGGCGCAGGGCAAGGCAATCTATCCCAGAGATATCGATAGGCTCCCAGCGCTACCCCACCCTCAAACTCCCAGATCACCCCCCCCAGTAGGCGGGGCCTCGTCAGGAGGCGGGGTTGAGATTGGCGGGAAATCTTGGGCGGGGAGCGCCCGCGGCGGCTGAGAGCTTCGGGGCGGCCATACAAAATCGCCCTTCTCGGATCCTCAGTGATTATTACCTGTGTATTGCCGATTCCCTCCAGTTTCTCACCGCTCGGCTGATACACCTGAAATCGTTCGAGACGACGCCTGCGACTACAGGTGATGCAGTGTGCCGCTCGAAATCTCTCATTCAGGGTCCACAGAGATTTGGGGTATTGTGTGACTGGAAGAAGAGCGAGGCTGTAAGAAAGGCCACAAAATAATGGTTCGTTTGTTTGTGTCAACCACCCTCTTCGTCAAGTACTTTGTGTACACGCATTTCTTTCTACTTCGGAAATCCTTTTCTCCATTCCCTGGAGAAATCATTTTTCAAGGCTCTGTTGCCATTGGTCCCTCTTTAGTATCATTACTGGTTTCCCCTACAAGACTTTGAACTCCATGAGGGCACTAATGCCTTTCTCTGGTGTCAAAATCAAGCACGATGCTTGTTTTTTCTTTATTTTGTTATAATGTTTTAATCGGGTAGATCAGACCACTGAGAAAAACTGGACATTTTCTTCTGAAACACGTATTTTCTCTGTTGAGAACTTTTGGCAAATCCACAGAGAGTTTAGCACAGCTCTGCAAACATCTGCCAATTTAACACCTACCCTGTACCAACGTTGACATATTTTCTTTATAAAGTAGGAAAGTTAAGTACCTAGACTCAGGCAAGGTCCACATTGAAAGTTTGGTCCTTAATGATCTAAGCTTTTGCAGATGAAGTAACAGACTCAGGTCACTTCTGTGATTTGCTCGAGTTCAGAGCAATTTAGTATCACAGTCTGTTTAAACCTTTCACTTTGATATTTTGGTCTTTTTTTCTCTGTCAAATATTTTTCAGGTTAAATAGGACTCCCTAGTATTCTGCATTATGAACATACGATGTTTTATTTAACCAAATCCCTGTTGTTTAATATTTAGGTTCCCCCCTACTCACCAACTCATTTATGAACTGCTTGGTACATAGTTTTGCTTGTATACGCCAATACTTCCTTCTTTAGAATAAATTCCTAAAAATGGAATTGCAGAGTCGAGTGAAATGGATTTTTCCAAAGCTTTTAATAAAAAGTGCTAAGCTGCCCTCCAGAAATGTTTTATCAGTTTATACTCTCCACAATAGTATATGAAACCTCCCTGGTGGTCTAGTGGTTAGGATTCGGTGCCAACCACAATAGTATTTGAGGGTGCCCTCCTCCTCCTTAAATTCACCAATACTGGTTGTTGTCATTTAAAAAAGAATATATATTATATATATTTATTATATTATATATTAATATATATTATTTATGAATTATATATATTATTATATTATATCTTTTTTAATGTTTATTTATTTTTGAGAGAGAGCATGTAAGTGAGCGGGGGAGTGGCAGAGAGAGAGTGGGACAGAGGATTCGAAGCAGGCTCTATGCTAACACCAAAGAGCCCGGCTCAAACTCATGAATGAACATGAGTGAGATCATGACCTGAGCCAAAGTTGGATGCTTAACCAAATGAGCCACGAGGCACCCCAAATTGTTGTCATTTTAAAAATCACTATTAATTTAGTGGATTAAATTAGCAGATTGTTCTCTTCTGTTTCTCTAGCACCCAGCACAATGCCTAGCATATACTAAATGCTTAATAAATATTATTTAATGAATGTTGAGTGCAAAGTAACTACTCATTTAATAATTGTTATATAGTACATAAACATTTTGACAATTCTTTTCTGCATATGCGTATATTCACATGCTTCAAAAATATGTGTAATAAATATATAATTGTTTTTAGAAATAAGATCATACTAAACTGTTTTATACTACACTTTAAAAGTTATGGCCATGTTTTCGTGTTCATAAGTAATGATATATATTATTTTCAATAGTGACATAGTATTCCATTGTGTAGACATACAATAATTAACTAAACTATGGGTGAACCATTAGCTTATTTCCAAGTCTTCATTATTATAAAAGTACTATAATGAATATTTTTATACATACACACATTTTTGTACTTTCCTGATTACCTCCTTATGATGAATTCATAGTAATGGAATTGCCAGGTCAAAGGGAACTTGCATTTACAATTATGATAAATATGGCTAAATTACAAAAAAGCAAAAACTTATATCAATTTATATTCTACAGTGCCTGAGAGTCCACTTTCTTTATACTTTCACCAGCACTGGATAGGGTAAGTACTTTTTACCTTTATCAAGTTGATAGGCAAAAAAAAAAGAGGAAAAAAATCTCTTTAATTTTACTTGTATTTTTTGCTTCCTAGCCAAAAAAAAAAATCTTTTCATGTATTTCTTGTCTGTTTATGTTACTTTAGTGAATTGCCGCTTAATTCCCTTCCTCAGTTTATTATTATTAGTCATTTTCTCATTGATTTCCAGGAGCCCCTGCCCTTAGGTAGTTAACCTATTGCTACCGTGTTACTTTTGTAGAAGGAATGTATTGAATACAAAGAAAAGAAACCCAATGAAGCTAGTTCAAGTAAAAGTTAAGGGGAGGGACAGCATGGGGGATACTGTAAGTATGTAACAGGGAATCACGTAACACTCAACATAGGGATTTTTTTTAAAAATGTCTACTTATTTATTTTGAGAGAGAAGGGGAGAGAGAGAGAGAGAGAGAGGGAGAATCCCAAGCAGGCTCCACACTCAATGCAGAGCCCCGTGTGGGCTTGATCTCACAGTGGTGAGATCATGACCTGAGCTGAAATCAACGGTTGGACGCTTAACCCACTGAGCCATCCAGGCACTCCAGAATTTTTTTTTATTTACTAAGCTACTCCTAGTGCCTAGAACAAAGCCTAGCATAATAGTAGGTACTCATTAAATATTTGTTAAATGAAAAAATGAAATAATGATGAATCTCTCACTCTCAAACTTGTCCTTTTGATTGTTATCTCCTAAATAAATATTTAGGGCTTTGTGATATATCCTTCATTCACAGTGATTGGCTAGACTCTTCAGAGGCTCATATCAAAGCTCCTCTCATAAGCCATCAGAACGGGCATTTGGTTAGACTTTTGGTCAAAACTGAAGGTCCTAAGCACTTACTAAAGTTTTTACATGACTTTCAGCTCTTCATGTTTTGGGGATTTGGCTTAGGATGCATCTTGGTCTTTCACCAAGAGTTGAAAAATTGATCAGTAGAGATATTTTGTAGGAAAAGTGGGTCAGCAAATGTAGCAGTACTTCTTCAATTTCACTCAACACTTGTAACTTTATGCATTCTTTGGAAACACCTCTTTCCTCACCTTACCCCAATGAGCAAATACTGGCAATCTCTTGCTTGCACTTGGGTAAATATATGTCATCTGGCAATCAGCTCAATGTCAGTTGCTTGCATCTGTGCTATATGCCTCCAGCTTCTTTCTGTGGGGGTCTCTTTACTCTTCCACGCGACTTTCTTCAGCAACTCATATCTGATCCAGATATCCACAGAATGGCTTTGCCTCACACCTCTGAGTATAGATTTTGACCACTCAAAACTCATCTTTGCAGTTAGCCAGCCATCTTTGCTTGTCCAGATTCCACTAGAATGTTGGCTCCATGGAGGCAGGGGCTTTTCATCTATTTCATTCACTGCTGTAGTCATCTGTGTCTGGTATAGTACCTGCTTAATAAGTGCTACTGAGGGGTGGCTAGGTGGTTTGGGCCGGTTGAGCTGCCTGACTTCAGCCGCCCAGGTCATGATCTTTATGGTCCAGGAGTTCGAGCCCCTGTGTCGGGAAGGTCTCCCTCCTGTGCTGGAGAGCTCAGAGCCTGAGCCTGCTTTGGATTCTGTGTCTCCCTCTGGCCCCCCCAACTCAGGCTCTGGTTCCCTCTCTCAAAATGAATAAATGTTAAAAAAAAATTAAAAAAAAATAAGTGCTACTGAAGTATTGAGGAATGGAATGCCTGGGCCATAATCCTGACGTGTGAATCCACTGTGACTCTATAACCCCCCAGCTCTAAGGGACATATCAAAGTTCCATTAAAGCCCTCTCCTGGGCATGAGGTGAGGAAAACCAACGTCAACACACTGTACATTAAAAACCTCTCAAAACTTCCAACTTTTTTTCTGACTTAGAAGTGGATATTATTGTGCAAAATTGCAAAGCAGCCCCCCCCCTCTTTTTTGCAATTTCTACTTTTGGTGGCCTTCCACTTTACTGTGGAATGGGAATAATTTACTTTCTAGAACCATACACAAAAATGAGATAGAGTCTCAATTTTAACATCCTGCTACACACATATAACAATTTATTTGTTTACATTCTCTCCATCTATTAAATCACCAGCTCTTGGAGAACAACGACACGACACACACACACACACACACACATACACACATCACACACACATAAAGTGTCACACTTAACTAGCTTACTTTCAACATAGTTTAAAAAAAAAAAAAAAAAAAAAAAAAAAAAAAAAAAAAAAAAAATCAGGGATGAATAAGTACCTTTAGCAGCAGTAATAATTCCAGTGTATTGCACACAATAAGCCAGTACCAAAGATTAGTGTCCAACACTCGTCTTTCCAGTACCCCTCTCTAGGAGAAATCTTAAATTTGGAATTATTTTTCATTAAAAATATTTTAATTAAAAAAATTTTTTTGTTTATTTTTGAGAGAGAGAGAGAGAGAGAGAGAGAGAGAGAAACAGAGCACGTAGCTGAGGAGCAGAGAGAGAAGGAGACACAAAAATCTGGAGGGCAGGCTCCAGAGCTGTCAACACAGAGCCTGATGCAGTGGGATTGGAAACAGCCAAGTGATCATGAGCTAAAGTCAGAGACTTAACCGACTGAGCCACC